CCCGCTGGCACCCAGGCTAAGTAATGTAGTGGCCTGACATTCACGAACCAGTTTTTAACTGCTGTCGTAAGTGCTGCCCCGACCGAGGCTAGTTAGAACTTGGAGTCCAGCTCGATTGGTGGTGGAACGTAGAATGAAATTCCGTGTTATCAAAAGGCCATTTGTCCATTTCACCATGGCAAGCCCGGTTATGAGATCCTCCCTCCCTTTTAAACAATCTATGTTGTTTCGAGTTATTATTAATAGATCTTATTGTTAATCTAAAGCCTACTTGTCTGGTTTCTATTTGTTTGAATTCAGCCAACTATTCAATGGGATAGCACATTTTGTGACTGTCAGTTAACAGGTCGCATAGTTACAGCTCCAAACAAAATGGCTGATTGAAGAGTGGTTAATCACTTGAATGATTAAATAGCCAAAATTATAAATTCGAGACTAGATACGGAGCCAAATTGTAGCAAAATTTCTCTATGAATAGTTTAGAACAAATATATGAAATAAATTTTTCCATATCTTGTAGCCCCTAATACCGGCACGGTGAGCCTTAATCCGTACCTTTAAAAGAAAGTCCTATTCTGAAGTCACCTGTTAAATCAAAATGGCACACACACGCACACAACGCACATGCATACATACAGGTTGGTGTAAGCGAATAGGTCAAACATATACAATCACAACATGCATTGAGGATAGAAGCGCGCGCTCTCTCTCTCTCTCTCTCCCTCTCTCTGTCGAGAGATACAATCCGATATGGAGGCATGAAGTGGGCACATGAAGGTCACTTGAAAGTAGTAGAGGCTGGCCGATGGGAAGTTGGAGCACTCAATCAAGAGCAAGCAAGATGGGAATTTACGGCCCAAAACTGTAACTCACTCACACAGATGCAGTTACGATAACGATGAGGATAAGGATGCTGAACAGTCGTCCTGACGATAGTAATTATCCCAGGCCGGCCGCACCGTTCGCCGAAACTAGCTACTTTGGTGTGCCTGTCTTTTCCGCCTCGGCATGAGGTCTCCAAACGGTTCCATTCATTTATGAATGCCTTAAAATCGCAAGCCTTTTGGACTCTTTTTTATCATCTTATCGCAGCCCTTCTTTTCTCACCGAGATAGCCAGTTCGCTATGCTTGTCGCAAACCTTCCAGAAGTTCCTCGAAGTGCACAGTATTCCCGGCCTTCCAATTCTTGCATAAAATCGCCCCTTTTAGATCCTTTTATCCCACCTAATGCGATGCCAGTCACGGAAGCCGATAGCCGAGGCCTGGCGGTTGGGCTCGAAGTTTTCTGCTCCACTGATTCGCGGCCAGGCTGACAGATGCATTATCAAAGAGCGAATGAAAACTATACAAGAGCACAGTGCCCATATCTAATTGGCAAACAAACGCACACACACACACACCCATACTTGCCAAGCGGACCAGCTTAAGGGCTACGCAAGAGGAGAGAGAGCAGAAAGAGGAGAATCTGATGCAAGAAAAAGGGATACGAATAAAAAACAACAGGAATATTGGCTTAAGAGATAATGCCCCACTAGCATGTCAGGAGGTCTGTGAGTAGCTACGCGATTGGGGAGATAAAAAGAAAGAGATACAGATGCATTAATGGATAGCCAGACTAGCGGATGAGAAAGTTAGTAGACGGACGGACTTTTCACATGGAGATATCAGGAAGGAGAGAAGACTCGACCCAGATGCGGCCTCCGCCCACCCGACTCCTGAATTGAACAGGGCCACTACCAGCGCCCAACACCGCAGGATGGCAACCAGACGAGAGGGCAGGATTTCGTCTTTGCCTGTCAAATGAGCGGGTCACGGTGAGCCGGCCACAGGCAGGCGGGCCAAGTGGGATGGCCTACAAGCCGAATCGGCCTTGGCAACTGGTCCGGAAAACAAAAGACGCCATCTATCGTGCCGTCTGTGTACAGATAAGCCCCAATTTCCTCCTCGACCCGGCAGAGGCGCCAAAGTAAAATGCTTTTCCCCAGTGCTTCGTTGAAATTCGAAACATTTGGCATTCGTGCATCCAGAGGTACAGGATCCTTCAGGCCTGAGCGCAAGTTTCATCGAAGGTTTCAACTCTACAGCTTGCACACATCAAACATCCGAATGAGCGGAATTTATCATCTACTCTGGTTAGAATGCGTGTGTTAAATACACCAAGGTGATCCAGAATAAAAGCTGTAGTCATCATAAGACTTTAAAGATGATAGTTGAATTTCCCCACAATGATAGAAACAGGATTGACGATGCTAGTCTAAACTTGCGACCTATGCAAGAATGAATTCCAGCCCAGATTATGTTTGCTCCGAAACGAGGGAGTATGAGTCGTGGATTGCGTCAGCATGAACGTGGCATTAAAATAAAATGGCTGCAGAACAACCGGAATCAGTCGTCTTCGGATGAGATCAATCAAAGAATCTCTTCATCATCCACTTGCATGCCAAATGAAAGTCTCCGCAATACTTCCTCTATGACGGCATTCCCATTCAGAATGTACTTGTGTGCAGTTTTAACTTTGCCTGAGTCTCGCAATCTCAATTTGACATGCTATCACTACGCCAGAATGCCACGAGTGTCAGTGGTTCATAGGTCAGAGGTGAAGTTCAAGGCAAGCAAAAGCATCCAATTAATAGGGAGTGCAATTTTAGATGAGGATTATTTGAGAAGAAATGAATAAACAGACATTCATTCTTGTCCTGAACTTTTCCTTCTGGAATTCTAGCTAAAAGGCCAGGCGAAATGGAAAGGAAGTGGAGAATAAGCAAGGCTTTCGAGAAATCTACGACACTTTCTTTGGTTGTGTCCATTTGTAGAGAGAAAATTGACATTAATTGCATCAAACTGCAATAAAATAAGGTGATGGCTCAACTAGCCTTTTGTTGGCCATAGTTCTAACTACTGTTGCACTTTATATACGGTTTCATTGAATTCGTCTCTCTCACACTCACACGCACATGCAAGCAGACAAAAAGCTCATTAATTTAACCAGACGTGTATCCGGTATTATGCAATCAGAGTGGCGGGCAAAAAAATTAATGAAGGGGCATTAAAATTTGATGACCGCAGGCAGAGATTACGCTCTATTCTAATCAGTCTGAGATATCTTGGATGGTTTCGTGCTATTACATACACACGAATGCAAATGAGCGCATAAAATCACATGCCTTCAGATTGACATATGAAAAAGGGTGAGTTTTCTTGAGTGGTTGACCTGAATATGGTTGCAAGAATGCTACTTTGCTCCGAGGATGTCCGTCATCCTAAGCTCTGTAATCGAAGAAGATTGCCTCAGGGATGGCTTCCACAAGAACTTTCCAGTAATATCAACCGATAGAAGGGGGCTAAACTTACAAATCTTATCATCATACAGCTTCACTGAAATGAGAGCAACATTTGTAAACCAATAAATTACTTGAGACCAAACTTCTCTTTAAATAGTTAAAAATTTACAAGTTAGACATTGTGAAAGAAACTGATTGAGATACGGGGATAGGATTCAGGTAGATGTACGAGTTAAGAAATAGAGATGGACTTCACCTGTTTGTTTGATGAAATGCAGCTTGCTGTTAAGGCTCGCTGATGATACTGACGAACTATCCGAGACTGTACAAACTCCACTATCCGAAGCTATAAACTATGTCTCATATAACAGAGGATTCCGGACAAAATGTTTTGATTGCAGTCGCCAAAATGCGAAAGCGAATTAGAACCAATTCTATGCGGTTAAATAAGTTCTGATCAAGATCGAAAAATGGAATAGCTCTGGCCGGTAGTGATGAGCTATCAAGTTGTTGTAATGGCAATATGTTGATCAGGTGTATTTACCTGACTTCTTGTTAAGCAAACATTGCTTTGCAATC